GGGATCAATTATAATATCATGACTGCATTCGTCTCTTTATGCCCAACAATTGTATATATAGTTTTGGGGTGGGGATCTTAACCATTTCAAAGTTATGACCCAGGGGTTAAGTCTCCAAGGGTGGGGCAGACCCCAAGGCCATCTTACTAGCATATGTGCATTCATTTCTTTTTAATTAGCAATTGTATATATGCTTATAGGGTGGGGATCTCAACTGTTTCGAAGCTGTGACTAAGAAACTAGGTCCCAAGGGGTTCAGTCAGACCCCAGGGTCTATTCTAATATCATGACTACATTCGTCTCTATATGCCCAGCATTAGTATATATAGTTGTGGGGAGGGTATCTCAACCGTTCAAAGTTATGACCCAGGGACTATGTCTCAAATGGTGGGGCCAGACCCTAGGGCCATCCTAGAACCAACTGTGCATTCTTCTCTTCATACTCGGCAATTGTATATATGGTTATACGGTAGGGATCTCAACCATTTCCAAGTGATAAACTTATTTTGGCCCCACCCCTTAGCCGGGGGGGGACAGCCCGTAAATTTGTACAATTTTGAATCTCCAACACCTAGGGATGCTTCCAGTCAAATATGGTTGATATCCATCTCTTAGTTCCAGAGAAGTCGCTTAAGGCAATATAGCCAAATTGCCTTCTTTTGGCCCCACCTCTCAGGCCCCCTGGGGGGTCAGCCCCACCATTTGTACAATTTTGAATTCCCACCACCTAGGAATGCTTCCAGTCAAATATGGTTGATATCGATCTCTTGGTTCCAGAGAAGAAGTTGCTTAAAGCAATATAGCCAAATTGCCCCCTTTTGGCCCCACCCATCAGCCCCCTTGGGGGTCACCCCCACCATTTGTACAATTTTGAATTCCTACCACCTAGGGATCCTTTCAATCAAATTTAGTTTAATTCCAATCAGTGGTTAAGAAGAAGAAGTCGTTAAAGAAATTGTTGACGGACGGACGACGGACGGACGGACGGACGGATGACCGGACGATGGACGGACGGATGGCGGACGCCACGGTATGGCATAAGCTCACCTTGGTGCTTCGGAGCCGGTGAGCTAATAATTCATATTTTGTTGTTGATTTCTAATGACATTGAACTTAATCCCGGGCCTCTATGCAGTCTTGATATTGCTCACCTAAATGTTAGATCATCATGAAATAAAATTGATACTATAGAAGCTGAATTAAATAATAATGATATAATATGTCTAACAGAAACTCATCTTTCTCCTGAAGTATTAGATTCTGATATCACTACAGATTCCTACTCACATGACAGACTAGACCGAAGATCAGGCCCTTGTGGTGGAGTACTAATATATCACAAGAACACTATTTTTACTAAAAGACAAACAGACTTAGAACCTAATGATGTAGAATTAATTTGGGTTGAAGTATGTATTGGGTCTCGTAAATTCTTGTTATGTTGTATTTATAGACCAGAAATGCCTGTAACTTATTGGGAAACACTAGACTTTGTATTTGAGAGAGCTATAAATACTAATCTAAATATAGTCATAACAGGTGATATTAATGTAAACATGATTAACTTACAACCTTATAGTCATCTTGGTAGACTAATGACCAAATATAATCTTGTAAGCTATGTTGATGAACCCACACGCATAACTCAAACATCTTCCACCTCATTAGATATCGTTTTCTCAAATAGTTTAAACTCAATTAAAAATGTATCTGTTTCTCCACCCATTTGTAGTGACCACTCTCTTATTCAATTCAGTATCTCATTTGATGTCTTTAAACAAAAATCTTATCAAAAAAAAATATTACTCTATCCGGAAGCAGATTATGAAAAAATGAATAGTAACATAAATATGATTGATTGGGTTGCAATCTCTGAATTTCAAGATAGTAATGAATTTAATAATACTCTTTGTTATGCTATTAATCAACAAATATACGAATGTATTCCTAGTATAAATGTTACAGTAAGGCCTAGAGATAAAAAGTGGATGACAAATGAAATTAGATTTAAAATTAGAAATAGGGCACATAGAAAAGCAAAGTTAAGTAACTTCCCATGTCATTGGGAAAACTACAGACATATCAGGAATGAAGTCATTAGTAAAATAAGAGAGGCCAAGAATAATTATATTGAAAAAATGCAAAAATCATTAGCCAATAAAAATATTTCTCCAAGTAGCTGGTCGAAAATTGCATGTTTTAAATGCAAATAATAAAAGTAACTGTATTCCCCCTCTTAAATGTGATGAATGTTTCATTCAACATTCATTTGATAAAGCTGAATATCTTAATAAGTATTTTACCTCTATATCTACCACTTCTGAGAATCTTGAACCTATTCCTGATATTGAATTTATCTGTCCCCACTCTATGGAAAACATAACAATAACACATCAAGATGTCCACGACCAATTGTTTCTCCAAAATAGTAATAAACCAGCTGGACCCGATGGCATGGTACCTAAAATAATAAAACAACTTGAACATTCTATTTCGATTTCTCTTCCTTTAACATTGCTTTTCAACAAGATACTACAAACAGGAGTTATCCCCCTTAGTTGGAAAACTGCTAATATTAATGCCATTTATTAAGGAAAAGGTTTAACAAATGAAATTTCTAATTATAGACCAATTTCTATACTTCATGTTTTAGTAAGATTATAGAAAAAAAATATATATAAGTACATGTTTAATTATCTAATCAATCTGGATTTATGCCTAAGGACTCTACTATAAATCAACTTCTTTCAGTATATCATACTATTGTACAATGTCTTGACCAGTATAAAGAATTAAGATTTGCTTTTTGTGACATAAGCAAGGCGTTCGATAGAGTATCGCATATTAAATTTAATCCAAATAAAACAGAATCTGTTATATTCTCTAAAAAAAAACTGAATACTCATCACCCAAATGTATGTTTTTATGATGAACCTGTTACTGTCAGCCGAACACATAAACATCTTGGCTTGACATTCAGCGATTATGCTAAGTGGAATGACCACATTTATGATATTTACCAAAAAGCATACAACAGAATTAATATTTTAAGGATGATAAAACATAAACTAGACAAACAGTCATTAACCACAATGTATACATCATATATCAGACCTATACTAGAATATGCAGATGTTGTTTGGGATAATTGTTCACAAAATCTAAAAAATCTCTTAGAGTCAGTCCAGCTAGAGGCTGCAAGATTAATTACAGGAGAGCGTAGAGGCACCCCACAATATCTTGTACAAAGAATCAGGCTGGGTTCCTCTTGAAAGTAGGAGAAAACAACATAAAATGATGTTGATGTACAAGATTATATATAATGAAACTCCACATTGCCTGAAAGAAATCACTGAGTCACATTTTCATGATCCCACACTAGCTAGACATCCCGTTAGATCAGTTAGAATATTTGATCCTCCTTCAAAAAGTTAATAACACCTATTCCAAATTCAAACACAAGTACAACTGATTTTAGGAAAAAAAATAATTCTTTCTCAATGTAATTCTTCTGATTTCCAGAAATGGTACATGAATATTAATATTTCCTATTTGTCTTCATTGCTTATTTTTAAATATTGTTAGTGAGGCGGGCTGGGGTTCAGAAGACCAGTTATACTATTTTATTAAAAAGATATTTGGAAACAACTACATAAATAAGAATACAAAGCTTTACAGCATGTTAATTATACATCTAACCTGTGTTTAATATGCATAAATTAAACTATTTGGTGGTATTGAATTTCCAAACTCATCAGTGGATGGCCTTGTGTGATACAATGGACTTTTTGGCCTGTATCTGTTCGGTGCGGTAATTTAATCCCATCAAATGTTTATACATGCAGCTCCATCAACAAATTATTTTTCTTTTCTCTTCATAATATGTATATATAATATATATATATCGGTATATATTTTATGTCTTTTCAATATCAAAATAAAAGATTAGAATTTAAACCATTAGATACAATTATAATGAAAATGAGTATTAGTAGTTGTTTCCCTTAATTTGATTATTAATTTGATAATACCAACTTGTTTATATGTGTTTGTATGTGTTCTAATGTCTATGTCTATGCTTGTACCACTGTCTGTTACTATGTTTGCAAAGGGCTTAAATAGGCTATGCCTGCTGCCCAATCCATTTGTCCTTTGACAATAAAATTTATTGAAATTCAATCAAAATTGCACAAGATGAAGTTCTGCAACCTTAACCCCTTCCCTTATCTCAAAGTACAATACATTGTACAATTCTGAAATTGTCAAATTTCTGTATTTTTATATAAATTGAGATACTTCTTAATGTTTGATTAACTTCAGTTTATAATATTAATTACCATTCATTTGTGCTTAGCCTCCGACCTAGGGACATTCTTTTCTCTCCCTTTTCAATCTGTCTAAATTGCTTCCCTATGTATAGTTTGTCCTCGTCAAACTACAATAGGGAACTATTGGTGTTTATACCGACACCATATTTTATTAGGAATCTTGTTTGTCTAGAGATTAATGAATGTACGTTTTTCCTCTCCCGTTACAACAGTATGACAATGTCAATAACTTGATAAGATAGGGTCGATCTAATATCAGATATATATGCAATTTCATCCTGTTTTCAATGAAATTAATTTTCATTTTATAATATGCAAGTAGTAAGTCTTTGTTTTGCAGGGCAGTAGACTGAACATAGATCTTATATAAGATAATGTTATTTTATAATAATAAATAATAATAATCATTCTAGGTTCTTATATACCACTTTATCACAACCTAGTTTGTAGGTCGTCTCAAAGCGGATCACAAATTATTATCCACGGTTATAGGGCCTTTGCAACCACATAATAACTCCCTGGGGAGCATACAGCCGGTGCTGCCATTCGGTGCTCACAGCTAACATTCAACAATTCTAAAACTGCCCAGCCACGTGAACTCATTTACAGCTGAGTAGACTGGAACAAGCGGAGTAAAGTATCTTGCTGAAAGATACAACACAGTGCCGTGACGTGACTCGAACCCGCAACCCTTCGGTCATGAGCCCAGCATCCTACCACTAGACTACCGCGCCTATAGATCGAACACTTAGTTTCTGTAGTCTTTCTGCAGACATGCACAAACCACAAACAGACATATTATACTTTATTTCTACTGAAACAAACACCTTTTCTCAGTATACTTTAACTGTGATTTTGGAGGTGACGTTTACTGCTCACACATCCCTCTCCTCCGCTCCCGTTGAGGTGAGTGTCCTATATGAGTGTGTACCATTCCACAATTATTTGTCTCTGAACCATCACTTTTTGTCTCTAATGAACATGTTGAAGAGACACACAAGTGTTCACTAGTACTAGGCTGCCCTCCTAAATCACCAGGTACAGGGTCAATAGCTTGACCTTCGAAACAGGAACATGAACACATTTTGTCCAATGGAACAGACATAGATATACAGGTCAAAGACTGTTGATCTGAAGTCATATTCTGAGGGTCAGAGGTCACATGTCTAGAGTCTGTATCAGTAGAAGTCTTACTAAGGAAGTCATGTTCTGGTGTATTATAACCATCTGACACAGTTTTTATACTGGCCATGGCTCCTGTATCCTCACATGGAACAGCGGCCTTCAACCTGACATCATCTAACATCTCTACACCATTCTGTTCTACTTGTCCGACATTACTCACTCCCTTCTCTACATAATTCTGTTCTACTTGTCCGACATTACTCACTCCCTTCTCTACACAGCTGTCCACCTTAACAAAACATTCTTCTCTCATCTCTACACAAGCCTGGTCTTTTTGACTGTCACCCAGTCTATCCTCCTGAGGGGTCATGATGTCATCGTTGCTGTCGGAAACCAAATTTAACATATCCTCCTGAGGGGTCATAATGTCATCTACATCATGTTTATCTTCCTTTTTTACGCCACACAATAAAGCAACAGCACTTTTCTGTTTAGACTTCTTTGATCTTTTCTGAAATTAAACAAAATAATAAACATTGAATACAGATAAATTACTGTATATTCATAAAAATGTTTTGGTTTAGCTCATATCCTTTATTGTCGACTGAATGGTCCACACTTAATTCACTTAAAAAGCAAATGAAAATGATAATATTTTTGCTATTTTACAATACAACTTTGGTAAGGTGTATGATAAAGACTGGTTGTATATTTTTCTTAAGGGTTTGTTTTTAACCGGTTCATAAGATTCATTGTCACCATTCAAATCGGCATTATAACAGTTTTACTAGTGGTATGTACAGATCTAGTAGCCACATTGCTGCCCATATTTTTGGAAACTCAGTCATCTGAACCATCAAATTTAGAAATTTCAAACATCTGGGTGACTACGACTGGTAATTTGAAAATGGCTGCCTTATAAGTGTATACCACTATCAATTTGATAACAAAATGTAACTCACTTTCACATATTCGCAAATATTATGGAACAGATTTGCATAACGGATACAAGTTCAAAATGTGTTAAATCTATATCCAATTGAGGCGAGTTATGAATTGGAAGGGACTTAGGTTATTTTCTACCTTGAGAAGGTGTTAGTAGGATGCTTACATTAGTAAGGCTTTTTATGGGATATTTTCTTCAGGAGAAAATTGGTGGGATCTTAATGAAGGGAGTGTTCGTGAAATATTTACCTTCAGAAGGTTTTATGGGGATTATAGAATGACATTTGTAGGATACTTACCTTTGGCTTGGATTTGTGGGATATTTACCTTAGTACAAGGTTTAAGGGATATTTACCTTGGGATGAGGTTTAAGGGATATTTACCTTAGGATGAGGTTTAAGGGATATTTACCTTAGGAGGAGGTCTGTGGGATATGTACTATAGGTTGGAGTTTAGTGACACTCCTTACCTTGGGATGAGGTTTGTGGGATATGTACTATAGGTTTGAGTTTAGTGACACTCCTTACCTTGGGATGGGGTTTTGGGATATGTACTATAGGTTGGAGTTTAGTGACACTCCTTACCTTGGGATGAGGTTTGTGGGATATGTACTATAGGTTGGAGTTTAGTGACACTCCTTACCTTGGGATGAGGTTTTGGGATATGTACTATAGGTTGGAGTTTAGTGACACTCCTTACCTTGGGATGAGGTTTTGGGATATGTACTATACGTTGGAGTTTAGTGACACTCCTTACCTTGGGATGAGGTTTTGGGATATGTACTATACGTTGGAGTTTAGTGACACTCCTTACCTTGGGATGAGGTTTTGGGATATGTACTATACGTTGGAGTTTAGTGACACTCCTTACCTTGGGATGAGGTTTTGGGATATGTACTATACGTTGGAGTTTAGTGACACTCCTTACCTTGGGATGAGGTTTTGGGATATGTACTATACGTTGGAGTTTAGTGACACTCCTTACCTTGGGATGAGGTTTTGGGATATGTACTATACGTTGGAGTTTAGTGACACTCCTTACCTTGGGATGAGGTTTTGGGATATGTACTATACGTTGGAGTTTAGTGACACTCCTTACCTTGGGATGAGGTTTTGGGATATGTACTATACGTTGGAGTTTAGTGACACTCCTTACCTTGGGATGAGGTTTTGGGATATGTACTATACGTTGGAGTTTAGTGACACTCCTTACCTTGGGATGAGGTTTTGGGATATGTACTATACGTTGGAGTTTAGTGACACTCCTTACCTTGGGATGAGGTTTTGGGATATGTACTATACGTTGGAGTTTAGTGACACTCCTTACCTTGGGATGAGGTTTTGGGATATGTACTATACGTTGGAGTTTAGTGACACTCCTTACCTTGGGATGAGGTTTTGGGATATGTACTATACGTTGGAGTTTAGTGACACTCCTTACCTTGGGATGAGGTTTTGGGATATGTACTATACGTTGGAGTTTAGTGACACTCCTTACCTTGGGATGAGGTTTTGGGATATGTACTATACGTTGGAGTTTAGTGACACTCCTTACCTTGGGATGAGGTTTTGGGATATGTACTATACGTTGGAGTTTAGTGACACTCCTTACCTTGGGATGAGGTTTTGGGATATGTACTATACGTTGGAGTTTAGTGACACTCCTTACCTTGGGATGAGGTTTTGGGATATGTACTATACGTTGGAGTTTAGTGACACTCCTTACCTTGGGATGAGGTTTTGGGATATGTACTATAGGTTTGAGTTTAGTGACACTCCTTACCTTGGGATGAGGTTTTGGGATATGTACTATACGTTGGAGTTTAGTGACACTCCTTACCTTGGGATGAGGTTTTGGGATATGTACTATACGTTGGAGTTTAGTGACACTCCTTACCTTGGGATGAGGTTTTGGGATATGTACTATACGTTGGAGTTTAGTGACACTCCTTACCTTGGGATGAGGTTTTGGGATATGTACTATAGGTTTGAGTTTAGTGACATTCCTTACCTTGGGATGAGGTTTTGGGATATGTACTATACGTTGGAGTTTAGTGACATTCCTTACCTTGGGAAGAGGTTTTGGGATATGTACTATAGGTTTGAGTTTAGTGACATTCCTTACCTTGGGAAGAGGTTTGTGGGATATGTACTATAGGTTGGAGTTTAGTGACACTCCTTACCTTGGGAAGAGGTTTTGGGATATGTACTATACGTTGGAGTTTAGTGACACTCCTTACCTTGGGATGAGGTTTTGGGTTATGTACTATAGGTTTGAGTTTAGAGACACTCCTTACCTTAGGAGGAGGTAAATTGGGGTTATGAACTTTCTGATGTTGCTGAAGCTTTTGCTGAAAACAGAAAACAAACATGATACTTTAAGTTATTCACAACACATAATCTTCAGATATAATTACTACTATATAATGTTATCGGAACCATCATAAGGCATTACCAGATCAGGGTACAATACTTACACATGCCTGCTTACAAAACGCATGTTAATTTTATAATTATGCAATTCAACTTCCCTCCGTCACAATTTTTGCATGTACATTTTTTTCCTTTTAACGAAAAATCCCAATTATATTCACGAAGATGTTATAAAGATATCCATATAGTCATATATATACCATGATTGTCTTTAACAGTATCTGTTCTTACTTTTCATTCTTTGATAACTTTCTTTCATGTTATTACTGACAAAAAGAATTTTAGATTTGCTGGTAGGTTTCTGTTTAGCAATAGAAATTTTGATCATATGCAAAACTTAGCCAGCATGCAGGCTAACATAGTTTTGAATCCTCCAGTCCAGGGTAGACTTTGCTGTTACTGCGTTTGTCAGATACACTCATACCTACATCCATTTAAAATTTATTATTATGCTTCTGAAGTTCAGATGTTGTTTTCATACTGTTCACAATTAAAGAAACTAGTACTGATATTGTAATGTATGGGATACCTCAGCGGTGAAGCGTCTGTTGCAACCGGGGTGTGGACACTCTTTATGGTTGCCATCATGGTATGAGCGGATGTGGGCAAGAAGGTTCCGCTGGTTGAGGTAGGAACGGCCACAGTTGTCCCGTGGACAGGCAAGAACTTCCCGTTCCGAGGAATGGACACTCATATGCTGCCTCAGCCACCGTCTACTACTGAAGGTTTTATCACACTGGGGACACTTTCTCTCTACAAACAGATACATGTACCTGTATCCTTACAGTGTTGACTTTGCCCGCATACCATGTACAAGTATACACACCAGTTAAGCACAGTCGAGGGACGTTCCAATCTCAACATGCTCAAAGCGTCACCATTAAGTTAGTAGGTAGTAGAACTTCTGATTAGCCAACTAGTTTTGCCTAGTTTTTTTAGAACACTTACCTACTAGTTCTTTAATTAAAGTATACTTCTATATTGTCATATGAGGGACAAACAACTTTGGTCAAGTAACGGATTGTAACACTTGGCTAACGAAGATGGTCAAGAGCAGATAAACAATATTTAACACAACATCAATATCTTGGATGTTAAGGTACAAAGACACCATTAACTTTAGTAGTGCTGTAAAGGACATAAATCATTATCGAGAGATGCCAGGAATACACAAGGAAGAGTGGTACATACTATGGTATGCTGAACATATAAACGGGAGATAACAACAGTAATGATATCAATGTAGATGACACAATGTTACCATGTCAATCAGGAACGCTTAGCTTAGAGTAACATAGTGATCTCTACATATACACACCAGTTGGATATTTAGCATGAGGGCCAAATATTGGAGAATGTTTTCCTCCAGTGTAAAGCCATAATTATATCTGTCTTTAACACAAGTTAACACCAAATTAACCTTTTTTAATTTTGAAACTGAAATTAAGCTATCAACAAATTTGAGTAAATTCTTTGAAGACATGTGTGCCAACACGGCACATGTTATGTAGTTCTGGGCTGTCAGGGGAGCTTACTCTCACTTACCCACTGCATGCTGTGTCGCTATGTGTTTCCTTAGCAATGTCCACTTAGAGAATATTTCAGTACATCCCAACTCATCACACTTATATCCTGAAAAAAAGATACATGATAACATTATTGTTACCCATCATCACAAACAATTGGCATACAACATTAAGCTTTAATAACCATCATCTATATATATATATATATAATCCGCCTGAAGAAGCCCTAGAAGGCAGAAAGGCCTAGCGGACGATCTGAAAAATTTGTTTTTATTCTATATTTTCCTTCGCAAGGACTTATTTATTTATTATCTACTATAAATATATATATCACAAGTTTACCAATCATCAGCAAATCACACTATGTTATTGCTTACCAATCAACAATATATTAACCCAGTGACCTAGCTCTGATAATAATAATAATAATAATATACAACATTTATGTAGCGCCCTATATAATTTGTAAAATTACTCTAAGGCGCTTTACAACATATGGATAATAGTAATGGTTATAATTGTGAAAACAAACAACAAAGGCTTGCAATCACTTTCATACATTTAACAAGCAATGTGCACATAATTGAACAAATAAAAGGGTGGTATTTACATGACGTCATTGCAAAGATTCTAAAATGCAGACGTGAAGAGGTGAGTTTTTATGTCCCTCTTGAACTTGGCCAGGGTATTTGACTTCCTAATAGCAGATGGTAAGCTATTCCACAACGTAGCCGAAACCCTCCCAAAGCATCTGTTTCCGTAGGTCACAGTACAAGATTTTGGGACACACAACAAAGATTCTGACTCCGACCGCAGTGATCTTGACGGCTGATACAGGGTAACAAGCTCCTGTAGGTACTGAGGAGCTGTTCTATTCAGTGCCTTGTATGTGTATACCAGAATTTTGTACTGTGACCTGTATCGTACTCGTAACCAATGCAACGAATCAGTGAAAACTGATACCTATCATCTAATGTTTTACCTGTATGGACTTTTTCATGACGTTGTAATTTGCTTGGTACCAGGAACCTCATGCCACAGCCCTCATAGGAACACCTGTGATAAAAGATCATGAATGTATTACTCCAAATATACCAGTATTTTACATAATCATACCATTACCGGTAATATTCTGTAGAATCATTCCACTCAAACTCAGACTGGAATTCTCCCGGCCTCGTATCCAGAATAGTCTCAATTCAACTCCTCATCTCAATCTAATTCTAAGCTCCAACTTTAACTCCAACAGCCCTGACCTTCATTCCTGATGTTGAACACTTTTGACCTTCATTCCTGATGTTGAACACTTAAGTGATTTATAATGAAATATTTAATGTTCATCAAAGAATCCAACTAGTTTATTTGCATCATCTGCAAGTTTGCACGTACAAAGCATTTAATTTTTTCATGCCATATTCAAAGGGATTTAGAGAAGATAGGTGTATCGATTTTGGAACCCTTGAATTTCGAAGATGTCTTTTACCATTATAAAAGTGTACTGTAAAAAGATGCAAGTAACATTCACAAGTACATGTATACAATATCCCTACACAAACATATCTTCCTTCAGTTGTAATATACTCTTACAATTGTATTTGTCAATTCATTTAAGGTGACAATTTTGAAAAGAAAAGCCTCAAATGTACCTGTATAGGATATACTCACAAAAACGGATTGATTTTGGTGTGTTCAAACTCATGAACTTTGAGGTGTTGATTTTTCTTGAAGGATTTTCCACAGCCATCATACTCACACTGTAACAAAAGCATGAGAATTGTGAATATATGTACTCGCCCATTATATAAACAATCATATATATATATGTAACCCTTTGTACTACCACATAAATAGTATCAAAGCAATCAGACATGTAACCTTACATTATCATTCTGTTACAATGCAATTCGACTGGTGAATACTGTTCCACTTCGTTCCACAACAACCAGCACATTGGTTCTATCCTTCGATGTTTGAGGACTTGATTCTTATGAAATAATTATAAACATGTAGCTAATACTTCCACATGTAACTTCCCTTAAAACTGTCCAACTTTTTAACTCACCGTAAACCGACCCTGTGTATGCTTCCTCTTAATGTGTTTTTTCAGATTCTGTATTAAAGTGAACTTCTTTCCACATCCATCCACTGTACAACTGTTACACAAGGGAAAGCAAATGAGTAAAACATAAAAATGTTTAATAGATAAAGATACTACTACTAGAAACATAATCAGTGATTTGGTTGGCCATGAAGAAATTTTAAATTCTAGTAAATCAACCAGGCAGACAATTGGAGGAATGAAATCACCTATGCCTAAATCAAGGGTTTCTGCTGAGATCAACCGATCCCATTATGACATAGATCTGGTACCCACATGACATTTACTGTGATCTTCTATGATAAAACAACTAGTACCTACTACCTACCTGACTTCCTTCTGTACATGTGGTTCCCCAGTGAGTTCATGGCTGTTTTGTTCGTGTCTGCGAAGATGAGATGACCGGGCATATTTCTTCCCACAGCCTGGAACCACACACTGGAAAGGTTTCTGGAAAAACAAACCAGGAAAAACAGTCAAGATTTTTTTTTTTAACAAAAACACTGATGGGAAGTTCAAAATTCCTTGCTCTCTTGTTATCTATTGCTTCAATTTCTAAATCTGTCAATCGTACATTTTCAACTTCTTCACAAGAAACACTGTAGGGATTTGGACAAATTGACAACAGATATAAATCACAATTTGAACTCCATCCAGTGTTTGGATAATGTGTGCACCGGATGCAAACAAATTGGTGGACCAACATTGGACAAATAAGGCAACATATATCAATATGTATATATGTACCCTCTCTTCTTTAGCCAGGTATCAAAACCAAATTTAAATCTGATATAATTATTATTTGAAGGGCCTAAAAATTCTCAGCCAACTTAAGACGAAATTCAGCCGTGTAACCTGAAACATACGTTTTTATTTTTGGCCTTAGTAATTTAATGTCATTAAATATGAAACCAGCTTCTGCGAAACTTGCTCTGTGATGAATAATATCTTTATTACTCTAATATTTAATTTCTAATTATTATTTTTTTGAAAAAATGAACCATCCAAAAGACTTGAAATCATGTGCCATTGAAGATTTTTTTATTGCGTAATGTGTGTCAACACGATTCAGATTAATGTTATCCCCTGCTCCCCAGTCCCCCTCTCAATGAACCCAATTACCCTCACTGGAGACAAAGCACACATGACAATGCTTACATTATGATATTATAACTTCCCATGTTTTCACTTCGTCACTCTGATCAGTGGGTGTTTAGTCTACTGACGTTGTTTTTATTTTTAGTTGATGAAAGACGTTGATTTTTTTTTTGTCATCACATCTTGTTAAAATCGATCTGTCGATCTTCCAAGTAACTATTTTTTTTTAAACAAAAAGTAATTTATTTCTTGTCATTTTCTTAGAGACTACCATAACCTGATTACAAAACAGCAATCAGAACCTTGTTATCTTCAAAATTGGATTTTTAAGATTTTTTTGTAATAGTGAAATTTCACAATTGGTTTTTAGCATTTTCCTGAAAACAATCAAAAAAGCGTACAAGGTCATTAACATGGTATATATGGAAGAATTTGTTTTCTCTTTTTACCACAATTTCAGAACCAATCTATTCTATTGTAAAACGAAAGATTTTCATGCTAAATATCACCCCTCATTCAGGAGATTATGCTAAAATGTTACTTCACAAAGAGTTACCTCCCCTTTCAAAACACAATGTATGACATTAAAAATCTCATTTAATTATATACATTGATGCACCAGTCTCAGTGGTAATTACACATCTTTCTTATCGTTCGTCTTTACACTTGAATACCAGTCTCCTCAACAAATCTGGTGGTCTTCTGTGCTAAGGGCATCCAAGTTGGTCCATATAACTTTTCTTTGAGTGGTGTTGGTGAATGCCATATCTTATCTCTCATGATCAGTACCTGATGGATCTTGCATGACTGTAAGAGGTGTGCAGTATCCTGCTCTGCTTCTCCACAAGGATACATTGGAGATGAAACAACTCTCATGACTTTGTATAGATGTTGATTGAGTCTGTTGTGTCCTGTCGGAAGATGGTAGTTTGGTCAGATCTTGTTGGTGGTAACTGTCTTGTTGCTGATGGGTGTTGAACAGAGATTTGATGATAGTTTTCATCTCTGTGTAGCAGTCTGGATTTTCTTCCTGTTATTGTTCAGCACCATTCTTTGCTAATTCATCGGCTTGTTCATTACCCCAAACTCCACAGTGAGAAGGAATCCACTGTAGAACTGTTGTCAGACTCTTGATGGTGTATAAAGCTTATTCAAGTTGAGGTAGCTTGTCGTTTGTCAAAGCTTGTAGCACAGAGAGGGCATCAGTCAGGAATACTACTTGAGTTGTGTTATCAACTTTGGTTTTGATGGAGTGTGCAGCATGAATAAGGGCTCCTTCTTCAGCTTTGTAGTTTGAACAATGTAGGCCTGTTGGTATTGCTTCTGATTGTTGATCTCCGTTGGGGTACTTAATGTATAACCTGCCCCTCCTTTTGTTGTGGCATTTGCTTACCCAGGAGTCTGAAGGGTACTTGTCTTCAAGCATACTCATTGTAATTACACATGATCTGATATGTTTTAGTCAGATAAATCATTAAAATAATATTTAAAAACAAAAATTTGTATTTGTACATGATGTATGATCTGACAAGTTTTACTTAACTAAGAAATTAAAATGATATTGAAAAACAAAAGCATGTCATATCAATTAGATATATTTAATGTAAACTATGTACAGACCAACCATTGTATATAGTATTTGTATGTCAGACAACTCTGAAACTAGAAATAAATTTAAATTTAGGTCTATTCAATTTCTAACTGTATCAGTGTATGTAAACTCAAGTCAAGACTGAGTGACAGTAACTTAATTTAAAAGTTTAATCATTCAGAAAAAAAAGTAAATAGAACCGAAATGTATACAAATATACATCATTTAATGTTTAAAATATATACAGAAAACAAAGAGAACAGATACCTTTACACGATAGGTAAACAACCTTCAATACAATATCCTTCTAGCGAGTTTTGTCTGGTACTGGTGGGATTTGTGTACGTTTTCGAGGCGAGGTGTCCGCCATATTGGATTTACCGTTATACTATACCCCTTGGGATTTCAACAGCATTTTTCATACCAAGAACGGTTTTGACAGATTGGCATATATATATACTTATTTTAAGGGATAATTACTGAACATTTGAATATAATTTTGATGGATGTACTCGGTTTTATAAGGAAATTGTCGCTTCTGCAATATTTCAGAGACGTATAATAATGTATTATACGTCTCTGAAAGTACTAATATATTAATGCCCGGCCTCCTCTGCCCCGACGCAATATATAAAAAAATATCGTCGTCAGAAAGCTACGTTATCGCAGCTACTGTCAGACTGTGCACAGAGCACGTGGGTCAGCGACATAATGATGGGGTACGAGTCATTTGTTTGTTTACTCTAAATGTGAGAAGTTTTGTCTGATACATTACCTCTCCCGTATGTGATCGCTGATGAATGTCCATCCGATCAGGCCTCGAGAAAGTCTTCAAACAATCAGGAAATGAACAAATGTACTCGTGGGTTGTCGTAACGTCAGATTTGGCCGCCATCTTCTTCTACATGATACTCTTGGACTTCTTCCTAGAAATATTGATGATAAAACGAAAGTTTCCGAACAGATTTGGCTTATATAATATTTGAGTCAATGGCTGACCGGATCGCTGTATTATCTCTAGGTATACAGAGTTGTCGTTCCTTACACAATATTGTGTATTGTGCAAGATTATATTGGCAAACATGAAAATTGACATTTCTCTGTCGTTTTTAATCTCAAAAATATTCTCAACAAAGAATAAATAATGATGTTTAACCTTGATCATTTTGAATATTCAATATTGCCCTGTGGAGTTGCACGGTTTTCCATACAAGAGATATCCCAAATGTATTTGAACGTGGTATAAGATATGTACCACAGGTTTAGATTGAATCTAATTCTGTGGATATATATGTCATTTAAAATGAAATAAAAATATCTTCAAATAAAGAAGATATAAGCTTATATATGAAAATGCAATTGTTTTTAAATCAAATAGAGGTATTTTAAATATGATAAAAAAATATATAATTGAATTAGATATATAACCGCATTAAAGCCATTTTGGTTTCTGTGGAGTATAACATATAGATAGCAGAGACGTATAATACATATATTATATATATATTAATATTATACGTCTCTGTAGATAGGCAGAGTTTGAGTATCAACATCTCTATTTTGCTATATATATATCATAAACTAAAGTGTATAACTAATGTACAAAATAATATCTAATTGAAACAGAGGCAACAACATAACGTGATTCTAACATATATTTCATTCATTAAAACGATAATTCTATTATTTGTGATAAGGGTAGTTTGGTTCTGGCCGTCCGTGAACATCTCCCGCCAAAATATGTCAAACCTTAAATAACGTCATAATCGATAATCCATGCCCATTGCTATTTTTACACTAAACCCTGCTCACTGATTGGTTAGTTAAGAGTAAATATAAGTGTTATTTATCACATTAGAACATTATCAAGTTATAGTGTATGTTTAGTGTAAAACCCTCATATTTCACCGGTAAAATGTAATACAAGATATATATATATTCCATTAATACATGCAAATATAACTTATGTGCTTTCAGGAGGTCTATGTTTAAAATTTAATTTAGCAATGATCCAAGAAACAGTGCATGTTTGGAAAAGATCTTTATTGTTTTTTTGCACTGTCATGTAAAGACAATTAGCTTCAAGACAATCTGCTTCACTAGAGCTGTTCCTGCTTCAAATGTCGCTGGTCTGTAGACATGCAGAATCAAGACAGTAGAATGAGCTCCATTTATACTTAGAAGATAAAGGTGTTTAACAACAGGCAAACTATCCTTTTGTGCATCAAAAACGGAAGTGTTAGGAGGCTCAACACCCATGATCGACTGGAATAGCAAGGGTCTTGAAATTGCATGGGGGAAAAAATGTTACCCGTATGTGTTACAGGGACTGTTATTCAATAAATCTGAACCCGAAATAATGTGTCTTCCTAATTATCGGAGCAACAGAAAAAGACAGGAACATCATCATGGACAGATTGGTCGAGTGGTTGATACTTCGGCCTTCCACGCAGGCGGCCGGGGTTCGATTGCCAAAGTCGTCGTACGCATGGAAATTCAGAGAAAGTGTTTTTCTCCTGCCCACACAACTCCAACAACCCAGGTGGAGTATAAAATGATCTGGGGAGGGTTTTGCGGTATCTGTGCTGTAGCATTCAAGTGAAGTGGCACTATAAATTATGCCGTTAGAAGCACGGTCCCACTACAATCAGAACACAATACATCTCCAGTACACACGCAGACATACTCACATAGGGAGATATTAGCCAGGTGGCATAGCTAGTATAGTTAGCGCCTGATAAGGCAGCCCCTGCGAATTCCTCAAAATTGTATGGGTTAATGTATCTGCTAATTGTGGTAATTGTATATCTATGTACTGTAAAGCGCTTTAGAGTGGCTTATTCTGGCTAGATAGGGCGCTATATCAAATGTTGTATATTATCATTATTATCCACGCACAGGGACCTGTATATATCATCATTGGGGTGACATTTTCACCGAATGTTAATATAAACTCCTAAAACGTGTAAAATTACACCTTAGTTCAGGTCCGAATGTCGCTGTAACAACTGTTCAGGTCCCTGTGACCCCAGTGGGAAAGGACACCTATCATTGTTAAAGTTTTGAATACTACGGGATTCACGGTTAAATGTGATTACATTGCATCTTTCAAAAGAAAAAATGAAATACACGTAGACACATTAACATTTTTAGAAGAATTTGCATCTAAATACGTTACACGAACGTGTTATTTTTACATTAGAACAGGTGTGCCACGTGATTTTATTTTACTTCCAAGAATAGAGTTTTCTGCACACACATGTTATTCAACTTTATACAACTATAGACGTTTTACTTGGTGAATATGCTATCTAGAATATGATAGAGTAGGATCCAGGATATGTTATGATATGAGAGTTGTACATAAACAACAGACAAATGTAAATACACGTCATGGGTCACCGATATCTGTAAACACCGATAACGAGGATGCGGTGAATAAGCGTTATATATATTTTAAAATCTAATGATAGTGTATAAGCACCAGTTGATAAAATTCATCAAATCAGAGGTTAAGGTGAAATACGAATATAAGCAAGGAGACATGATAAATTCGGGTATAGGGAGAAGAAGAGGAAGAAGAAGGCGCCATCGTTTTACAATCATTAATTCATTGCGATCAAAAAGGGGAAAAAAGTCTCCATTTTTCATTTTATAGATTATTCAAAGGCCATGGATTTTGTAAATAGACCGTTAATGATATAAAAAGATGTTATAACATGTTAGCGCAAACGTCATTATATACATGTAGACGTGTGATATGTTGTATTTAATATGAAAAAAATTCGTTCACCAGTTTGTCATGGATAACGGATTATTCCAAAGGGAATTCATCCCCCCTTTTTTGCTATATAATTATGTTAATAGTTATGTTATAAAATTTTAGGTGAATTATTTAAATAAAAGTTATCATTGATTTACTGATACGGTATGCAATTGATATGCTGGTTAAATAATATTAGATGTCCTTGCGAATTAGATATACAAAAACTGGGATATAAATGTAAATACAAACAACAACAAAACGTCGTCACATAATGTAATCATACTGTGGGTAGGTTCTCATTAATAACATCATTTCATGTAATCATACTGTGGGTAGGTTCTCATTTATAACATCATTTAATGTAATCATACTGTGGGAAGGTTCTCATTAATAACGTAATTTAATGTAATCATACTGTGGGAAGGTTCTCATTAATAACATCATTTAATGTAATCATACTGTGGGTAGGTTCACATTCATAACATCATTTAATGTAATCATACTGTGGGTAGGTTCTCATTTATAACATCATTTAATGTAATCACACTGTGGGTAGGTTCTCATTAATAACATAATTTAATGTAATCATACTGTGGGTAGGTTCTTATTAATAACATAATTTAATGTAATCATACTGTGGGTAGGTTCTCATTTATAACATCATTTAATGTAATCATACTGTGGGTAGATTCTCATTAATAACATAATTTAATGTAATCATACTGTGGTAAATTCTCATTAATAACGTAATTTAATGTAATTTCACCGTGGGTAGAGGTTCGCAGTAAGTACATCACGTTATGTAATTAAATTGCGGGTATGTTCTCATTAATTACGTCATTTAATGTAGTTACTCCGTGGGTGGGTTCTCATAATTTTACATCAAGTAATGTAATCACACTGTGGGTAGGTTCTCATTAACTTCGTGATATAATGTAATTACTCCGTGTGTAGGTTTTCATTAATTACACCACGTTATTGTAATTACACTGTGGGTAGGTTATAATTAATTACGCCATTAAATGTAATTACTATGTGGGTAGGTTCTCATCAATTACGTCAATTAATGTCATTACAACTTGGGTAGGTTCTCATTAATCAATTACATCACGTAATGTAATTACAATGTACACTGTGGGTAGGTTATAATTAATTACGTCATTAAATGTAATTACTCTGTGGGTAGGTTCTCATTAATTACGTCATTAAATGTAATTACTCTGTGGGTAGGTTCTCATTAATTACGTCTTTTTATATAAATATACTGTTGGTAGATTCTCATTAATTTCGTCATTTAATGAAATTATATTGTGGATAGGGTATTAGTAATTTTGTATTTTAATGTAAACATACTGTGGTAGGTTCTCATTACGTCATATGATGTAATCATACTGTGTTTAGGCTCTGATTCATTACGTCAGGTAAAAGTAAGTAAACGAATTCTTATAACGCCTTAGAATTGGTTGAGAGTATACCTACCTATTATATACAAAGTATGCATTATCTTAGAGGGTAATCGTACTGTGAATAAGTTATCATAGTAAATGTCATCATTTGGGTTCTCCACAGTTGACGTAAACGAGAATTAGTTTGCGAATAGAAGTGTCGTAAAGGCACTTTGGTCGGTCTAGATTGTGTCTGTGTAATAATGATACTATCGTATTTCGTTTGTTTGAGTATTTATGAATTATCATGGATGTGGTGATGCATTAATGTATCAATGTGATTTGATATTGGCACATGTCCAGATATGGATAGAATTATACCGATTAGATATATGCAGGGTGAGACTCACTCGTGACGTGACTTGATAACGCTGCTGCTACTCCGTACCCCGTCTCTAGTGTCTTACCCCATACATTCACAGCGTGTATACATTATATGCATATAACTCCTCCCCGTACAGCTCCCTGCCTGTAAAGTGGGATATGTCCCTGAACCCGGGATGTAACAGTCGCTCCACATAAAGGTAAGATATTTTAGTGTTTTACAGTACATAAACCAGTACATAAACCACTGTTTGTGTATCTGTAATCTAATGTGTTATCTAGGGCGCTCAAAGTCATGGACTTTATGTCAAACAGTTATAAAATTATATGGAGTCACATTTCACTGATTGCTTCCTGTACTGGTACGTAACAACGTTTATCAGTGATTGAAGTAACAGCACTCTTTAGCTTTCCTTTATTATTAAAAATCATTTTATACTGACATTAACTTAGATACCATCTTGTTCTGTCATTGACTTAACGTTATCCCCTATACTAGCACTGTCTTTAAAAAATCTTTTTATATTCCTAGCTCATACCTTTAATATCGGAATTTGTAAAAATAAATAAAAAAATGTTTATCTTCCCATCCTAGTATTATTAATGTCATTTTTGGCGTATTTGAAAGTGTTTGAAATTATTGTGTACCAATAGCGACATTTTATCTCTCATTGGAATCCTCGACTTACTTAGTCATATTCGTGTCATTGGGCGCAAAAGGCGTTAACACAGTTTTGTTTTGAATGCTGAAAAACTTGGGAATTTGACAAATATTCTATACTATTATCATCAGTTTAAGTATATGTGCCAGTCATCAATTACATACAATAAAACAAAGTTTAATAACTGATTTAATTTGAACGCTCATCTTAACGATTTGAGAATAAGCGGTTCTATAGATATTTGGTCTCCTGGAGCAACAGCAATTAGTGGTAATTACTACCCGAGGTTATGTGCTCTGTGAAGTTAAATACAGATCTTAAACAAGTTTTCCGAGATAATATCTTTATTTGTTTATAAGACACGAGACCAACATCCTACATGCAAGTTGTATCTGAATGTAGAACGTTTTCACTGAGTTCATTCACCGAGCGTGACGCGTCTTGTGATATACTCTTCAACACGTTCTGTTTTACCACGTGATGCCACGGGCAGCAATACGCGAGCTCAATGTACCGTGTGAAAACCAATACGAGGTTTAAAAATGCGGCCATACCAATATTTGTGTGATTGTTGCTGCTATTACTGCATTTTTTTTTGTTTTCATGTCACACCAAATGAAAGTGCAAACGTGACATATTTAATAGCAACTGCAACGTAACCCTCTCCTTAGGACAACTGACACATACACCACTGTAACTATCCCCTTAGTACTACTGACACATACAACACCGTAACTATCTCATTAGTACTACTGACACATACAACACTGTAACTATCTCCTTAGTACTACTGACACATACAACAATGTAACTATCCCCTTAGGACAACTGATATATACAACACTGTAACTATCTCCAAAGTACTACAGACACATACAACACTAACTATCTCCTTAGGACAACTGACACATACAACACTGTAACTATCTCCTTAGGACAACTGATATATACAACACTGTAACTATCTCCTTAGTACTACTGACACATACAACACTGTAACTATCTCCTTAGTACTACTGACACATACAACACTGTAACTATCCCCTTAGGACAACTGATATATACAACACTGTAACTATCTCCAAAGTACTACAGACACATACAACACTGTAACTATCTCCTTAGTACTACTGACATATACAACACTGTAACTATCTCCTTAGTACTACTGACACATACAACACTGTAACTATCTCCTTAGGACAACTGATATATACAACACTGTAACTATCTCCAAAGTACTACAGACACATACAACACTGTAACTATCTCCTTAGTACTACTGACATATACAACACTGTAACTATCTCCTTAGTACTACTGACACATACAACACTGTAACTATCTCCTTAGTACTACTGACACATACAACACTGTAACTATCTCCTTAGTACTACTGACACATACAACACTGTAACTATCTCCTTAGTACTACTGACACATACAACACTGTAACTATCTCCTTAGTACTACTGACACATACAACACTGTAACTATCTCCTTAGTACTACTGACACATACAACACTGTAACTATCTCCTTAGTACTACTGACACATACAACACTGTAACTATCTCCTTAGTACTACTGACATATACAACACTGTAACTATCTCCTTAGTACTACTGACACATACAACACTGTAACTATCTCCTTAGTACTACTGACACATACAACACTGTAACTATCTCCTTAGTACTACTGACATATACAACACTGTAACTATCTCCTTAGTACTACTGACACATACAACACTGTAACTATCTCCTTAGTACTACTGACACATACAACACTGTAACTATCTCCTTAGTACTACTGACACATACAACACTGTAACTATCTCCTTAGTACTACTGACACATACAACACTGTAACTATCTCCTTAGTACTACTGACACATACAACACTGTAACTATCTCCTTAGTACTACTGACACATACAACACTGTAACTATCTCCTTAGTACTACTGACACATACAACACTGTAACTATCTCCTTAGTACTACTGACACATACAACACTGTAACTATCTCCTTAGTACTACTGACACATACAACACTGTAACTATCTCCTTAGTACTACTGACACATACAACACTGTAACTATCTCCTTAGTACTACTGACACATACAACACTGTAACTATCTCCTTAGTACTACTGACACATACAACACTGTAACTATCTCCTTAGTACTACTGACACATACAACACTGTAACTATCTCCTTAGTACTACTGACACATACAACACTGTAACTATCTCCTTAGTACTACTGACACATACAACACTGTAACTATCTCCTTAGTACTACTGACACATACAACACTGTAACTATCTCCTTAGTACTACTGACACATACAACACTGTAACTATCTCCTTAGTACTACTGACACATACAACACTGTAACTATCTCCTTAGTACTACTGACACATACAACACTGTAACTATCTCCTTAGTACTACTGACACATACAACACTGTAACTATCTCCTTAGTACTACTGACACATACAACACTGTAACTATCTCCTTAGTACTACTGACACATACAACACTGTAACTATCTCCTTAGTACTACTGACACATACAACACTGTAACTATCTCCTTAGTACTACTGACACATACAACACTGTAACTATCTCCTTAGTACTACTGACACATACAACACTGTAACTATCTCCTTAGTACTACTGACACATACAACACTGTAACTATCTCCTTAGTACTACTGACACATACAACACTGTAACTATCTCCTTAGTACTACTGACACATACAACACTGTAACTATCTCCTTAGTACTACTGACACATACAACACTGTAACTATCTCCTTAGTACTACTGACACATACAACACTGTAACTATCTCCTTAGTACTACTGACACATACAACACTGTAACTATCTCCTTAGTACTACTGACACATACAACACTGTAACTATCTCCTTAGTACTACTGACACATACAACACTGTAACTATCTCCTTAGTACTACTGACACATACAACACTGTAACTATCTCCTTAGTACTACTGACATATACAACACTGTAACTATCTCCTTAGTACTACTGACATATACAACACTGTAACTATCTCCTTAGTACTACTGACACATACAACAATGTAACTATCTCCTTGGTACTACTGACACATTCAACACTGTAACTATCTCCTTAGTACTACTGATATATACAACACTGTAACTATCTCCTTAGTACTACTGACACGTACAACAATGTAACTATCTCCTTGGTACTACTGACATATGCAACATTGTAACTATCTCCTTAGTAATACTGACACATTCAAGAATGTAACTATCTCCTTAGTACTACTGACACATACAACACTGTAACTATCTCCTTAGGACAACTGACACATACAACACTAACTATCTCCTTAGGACAACTGACACATACAACACTGTAACTATCTCCTTAGGACAACTGATATATACAACACTGTAACTATCTCCTTAGTACTACTGACACATACAACACTGTAACTATCTCCTTAGTACTACTGACACATACAACACTGTAACTATCTCCTTAGTACTACTGACACATACAACACTGTAACTATCTCCTTAGTACTACTGACACATACAACACTGTAACTATCTCCTTAGTACTACTGACACATACAACACTGTAACTATCTCCTTAGTACTACTGACACATACAACACTGTAACTATCTCCTTAGTACTACTGACACATACAACACTGTAACTATCTCCTTAGTACTACTGACACATACAACACTGTAACTATCTCCTTAGTACTACTGACACATACAACACTGTAACTATCTCCTTAGTACTACTGACACATACAACACTGTAACTATCTCCTTAGTACTACTGACACATACAACACTGTAACTATCTCCTTAGTACTACTGACACATACAACACTGTAACTATCTCCTTAGTACTACTGACACATACAACACTGTAACTATCTCCTTAGTACTACTGACACATACAACACTGTAACTATCTCCTTAGTACTACTGACACATACAACACTGTAACTATCTCCTTAGTACTACTGACACATACAACACTGTAACTATCTCCTTAGTACTACTGACACATACAACACTGTAACTATCTCCTTAGTACTACTGACACATACAACACTGTAACTATCTCCTTAGTACTACTGACACATACAACACTGTAACTATCTCCTTAGTACTACTGACACATACAACACTGTAACTATCTCCTTAGTACTACTGACACATACAACACTGTAACTATCTCCTTAGTACTACTGACACATACAACACTGTAACTATCTCCTTAGTACTACTGACACATACAACACTGTAACTATCTCCTTAGTACTACTGACACATACAACACTGTAACTATCTCCTTAGTACTACTGACACATACAACACTGTAACTATCTCCTTAGTACTACTGACACATACAACACTGTAACTATCTCCTTAGTACTACTGACACATACAACACTGTAACTATCTCCTTAGTACTACTGACACATACAACACTGTAACTATCTCCTTAGTACTACTGACACATACAACACTGTAACTATCTCCTTAGTACTACTGACACATACAACACTGTAACTATCTCCTTAGTACTACTGACACATACAACACTGTAACTATCTCCTTAGTACTACTGACACATACAACACTGTAACTATCTCCTTAGTACTACTGACACATACAACACTGTAACTATCTCCTTAGTACTACTGACACATACAACACTGTAACTATCTCCTTAGTACTACTGACACATACAACACTGTAACTATCTCCTTAGTACTACTGACACATACAACACTGTAACTATCTCCTTAGTACTACTGACACATACAACACTGTAACTATCTCCTTAGTACTACTGACACATACAACACTGTAACTATCTCCTTAGTACTACTGACACATACAACACTGTAACTATCTCCTTAGTACTACTGACACATACAACACTGTAACTATCTCCTTAGTACTACTGACACATACAACACTGTAACTATCTCCTTAGTACTACTGACACATACAACACTGTAACTATCTCCTTAGTACTACTGACACATACAACACTGTAACTATCTCCTTAGTACTACTGATATATACAACACTGTAACTATCTCCTTAGTACTACTGACACATACAACACTGTAACTATCTCCTTGTACTTCTGACATATACAACACTGTAATTATCTCCTTAGTACTACTGACACATACAACACTGTAACTATCTCCTTAGTACAGCTGACATATACATCGTTATAATATGGTATAGATAAATGTGATGTTAATGACAATTGTCACATATAAACTTAATTTATTTTACAACAATTTCGAAATAAGTTATTCGAATTCATATTAATCACGCTTGTTAGCACGGGAGGTCTTAATGTGGGAAGAAACCTGAGTACCCTGAGAAACCTCACGTAGTCGGACAGGTAACCCCATACCTTTTCACGTCGAATCGGGGAATCGAACCCCGGCCGCCTTCGTGAAAGGCAAGTCCGCCATTCACTGTGCCAACCGGCCACTCTTAAATATTTGTTATGATATGGTAAAGATAATTGTTATAATGTGGTATGTACAATTGATGTGATGTTGTAAAGGTGATGTTATGTTGTGAACTGGTTCAGGTAATTGAATAGGCATTCCTCTTTCTGTTTTTCAGTGTCCCTCCTCCGAAAATGATTTCACACCAAATAATATCCCCCGGAAAGTGACACAATACAAAATGTCGGCTCCAGACCTCAAGACTCTGTTCCATTATAACAACAACCGCCCTAAATCTACTCCCATCCTAGAGACCGGGTTGAAGGACCTTCCCGCCAAAACTCTTGCTCCAGTTCTCACACAGAATCAAACCTCGCCACCAGAAGAGGACACGAGTTTTTCCTTGACCCCCAAGAATGTGGCGGTGGACATTAGCCGGACACCATCCTCGGGATCCCATGAGAACAGGGAGTCCGACACTGAATTCTCACCCCTCTTAGGCAACAGGTACGCATGAGTAAAGTAGGTCTTGGCTGATGGAGTAGGCAGGTATAAAAGCGGCCACCGTAAGCAACGCGTATTATACAAGGATACAGATCGGGAAGGTAAAAGGGAATTTAAAGGAGTACATTTCACACCGGATTGATATTAGAAATGATCAAGTCATCCACAAATCTACTTATTTCAGGGTATTGCCGCTGATGTTTAGTTATTGCTGTGGTGACTATAGTTGTAACGAATAATAATAATAACAATATACAACATTTATATAGCGCCCTATATAATTTGTAAAATTACTCTAAAGCGCTTTACAACATATGGATAATAGTAATGGTTATAATTGTGAAAACAAAAAACCCAAAGGCTTACAATCACTTTATACATTTAAGCAAGCAATGTGCACATAATTGAACAAATAAAAGGGTGGTATTTACATGACGTCTTTGCAAAGATTCTAAAATGCAGACGTGAAGAGGTGAGTTTTGATGTCCCTCTTGAACTTGGCCAGGGTATTTGACTTTCTAATAGCAGAAAGTAAGCTATTCCAAAACGTAGCCGAAACCCTCCCAAAGCATCTGTTTCCGTAGGTCACAGTTCGAGATTTTGGGACACACAACAAAGATTCTGACTCCGACCGCAGTGATCGTGACGGCTGATACAGGGTAACAAGCTCCTGTAGGTACTGAGGAGCTGTTCCATTCAGTGCCTTGTATGTGTACACCAGAATTTTGTACTGCGACCTGTATCGTACAGGTAACCAGTGCAACGAATAAAGCGCAGGTGTGATGTGCTCTCTCTTTCGAGTACGAGTAACCAGCCGTGCTGCAGTGTTCTGGACCCTCTGCAGACGACTAGTTAGTTTGTCAGATATACCACAGAGCAGGGCGTTATCATAATCAAAACGAGAGGTAACACGTGAATGCACCAAAATCTTGCATGCATCTGCAGTTAAAAACTGCCGAATACAGCCGATGTTCCTGATCTGGTAGTAACAGGATTTGGCAATAGCGTTCACTTGTTTCTCCATGTTCGGTGAACTATCAAAGTATACCCCTAGGTTTTTAACAGCTGGAACAGTCTCAATAGTTCTGGCACCGACCTTGAGCTGGAGAGCCATTGTTTGCTGACACTTTGGGGAAAAGACGATTAGTTCCGTCTTTTCCTGATTAAGCTTAAGCATGTTGGCGTTCATCCAGATACTGATATCTGTCAGACAAGCTTCCAGACATTCCAACTGTCCTGTGGTTTGATGACCATGTAAATTTGTGTGTCATCGGCATAGCAATGATAGCGAAGGCTATGGCGACGACAAATCTCTCCAATCGGTTTGGAGTACATACACTATTTTCGTGGTCCTAACACCGACCCTTGAGGAACCCCAAAATCTAGTACTTTGTCATGGGAGGTGGCAGATCCGATGGCAACAAACTGTCGTCGTTCACTCAGACAAGACTGTATCCAGCATAGTGCGGTATCAGTCACTCCATTAGAGTATTCCAGACGTTTATAAAGTAAAGGCAAGGTGTTGACTTTTATGTTGTAACATCATAATCATTGACAAGGCGTCACTGGGTTATACCAATCCTTACCTACAATGTTGCTTATACTTGGAATACTCGTATATCAACTCGAGATCTTCTGATATGACGACTAGGGTTGACAACGGGGTAGTATACGAAAATGGTCAAATGATAACTCTTTATTATATATTGACATATACCTGATTCATAGGATACGGATAATCTCCCTTTTTAACTGTTGCAGTGATTCCGGGACCAGCAGTGTATTCTCGAAAGAATTGGCATGGGATGTCCAGGAAGCCGTCAGTAACTACTTCCGGTTGAGCAACTACAAACAAATGCTGCACCATTTCAAGGTTACAGTCCTCCTCGTCCTCACCGTCGTCTTCTGCGTAAGTTACGTCACTTCCCCACATGGTCACCGACTTTCATTTTACGTGTCCAGTGATGGACATATGGAGGAAGGTAACATGATGACGTTGTCCACTGTTGCTGAGCTACTCACCAAGCTAAGTTCCTGTAAAGACGGAGTTCGTCACTTGTTTATTGTGTGTCGGTATGGCAAAAGTTACGCTAAATGACCCGGGCAAACCTTTCTGTAGGATGGTAAATAAAATGTGAAATTTCAGTCACGTGCCTGTAGAATCAATCCCTTCTGCACGTTGACCAATAAACAAACGAACCTGTTAGATTTACTTGATAACTTATAGACGTTTGTTTGCAGGCTATTATTACTGCACACGAGGAAGCGGAAGTGAAGTTTTGGACAACATCTGTTGCTAACACTTTGCCCATAGGTAAGTACTATTCGATTATATTTCTTCTCACACGGATAAACTCTAAATAATTATAAACGTTGTATGTAAAAGACTATGTACTTAAATCAAATAGTATCTGTTTTATTGCATATAATTGTGCGCTATCGAATGCAGGTTTTACTCGGACACTTTCTCACATTTTGTGGTATGACGTCAATGATACAATGTGATCTGACGCTTTAGACTTACAGTGTACAAGATCTGTAATTTCATCGGGACAAATCTCTGACACTACCAATTATATATGTGTATCTACGAACAGTTTCCACTTCTCACGACGCCGATGGCACCCTAACACTGACATTAGATGGCCCCCTGAAGAAGACAGAAGACAGAAATTCAAACGACACAGTCATCACAATAGAAGTTCTCAGATATAACAGTGTAAGTGAAAACATCCCATCATTAATTGATGTACTTGCTTTTTACCTGTATTGGGATTTTCTGTCAACCATCAAGAGCTATTTATTTTACATGCGCTGAACTGGAAGCGAAAGTGTTCATACGTTTAAATCACAGTTATTTATCAACATTAAATAGCAAAATATTAAGAAAGAACAAGTGGGGGGAAAATAATAATCCTATGCGTTAAAGTTGAGTTAGAAACTGGTAGGATCTGCGGGCTGGCCATTTAAGAATCTTACCCCGAAGGATAGTTTCTCTTACCTTCAAGAGTCGTATCCGTGAATTTTCCGTAGTGAGAGAGAATATGTATTGTTTACTTAAGGGATGAAAGAAAGAGTGTCAAAGCCAAATGCTGGGTGTATGAGCAGTGGATAACTCGAACTTATTTGAATCTCAACCATCAGGGTAATATTTGCCAATCTCTTTATCATGTTCTTGTATCTATTCCAACACCATGTCACAGTGTTGATATAGTCTCTGTATTTATGTTTCTACCAGTCTGAAGTACTAGAGACCAAGATGTGGGTGTTAAACAAGTCGATTTTGCATGAGGAAGAATCTGAGGAGGTGGAATATAAGTTCCTTAACCTTAGTGGAACGTGAGTATCAATGTCATAAGATCGTATCAAAAAAACAACGAAAAAATGCTGAAGTGTAAACAAAAAACGGATTAAACTATGGCAATTAAAGAACAAAGGGAACTTCGAAAAGTAAAGGAAGTATAAAATCAGGTGTTCTGGAAGGGTAAACGACTTTTGCTACGTCATGTTAATTGAGGTCAAAATCCAAATAATGTCACGTCAACAAAGCGAGAACAGGGATAATGAAACAACAAGGCACTCTAATGGACATAACAAAAACATTGACCTTATTATCAAGCAAGGAAACTATATATTTCGATGTCAAAGGGTCGTAGTTTCCCATGTCATTAGATTAATAAGTTTGTCGGGAGTATTTCATGCCTTCAGATGTTAAGAATTCATTTTATAAATTGTGAATAGTGGGCGTATTCTGTCGTCAGATAACTGTTGTAGTTTGGTCACATAACTGTAATGTAATTAAGTATTACATAACTATTATTTCAGTATCATGTAACTGTTATGTCAGTATCATGTAACTGCTATGTTAGTATCACATTACTGTTATGTCAGAATCACATTACTGTTATGACAGTATTACATTACTGTTATGTCAGTATCACATTACTGTTACGTTAGTATCACATTACTGTTATGTCAGTTTCACATTACTGTTATGTCATTATCACATGTCTGTTATGTCAATATCACATTACAGTTATGTCAGTAACACATTACTGTTACGTCAGTATCACATTACTGTTATGTCAGTATCACATGTCTGTTATGTCAGTATCACATTACAGTTATGTCAGTAACACATTACAGTTATGTCAGTAACACATTACAGTTATGTCAGTAACACCTTACTGTTATGTCAGTAACACATTACTGTTATGTCAGTAACACATTACTGTTATGTCAGTATCACATGTCTGTTATGTCAATATCACATTACAGTTATGTCAGTATCACATTACTGTAATGTCAGTATCACATTACTGTTATGTCAGTATCACATGTCTGTTATGTCAGTATCACATTACAGTTACGTTAGTATCACATTACTGTAACGTTAGTATCACATTACTGTAACGTTAGTATCACATTACAGTTATGTCAGTATCACATTACAGTTATGTCAGTATCACATTACTTGTATGTCAGTATCACATGTCTGTTATGTCAGTATCACATTACTGCTATATCAGTATCACATTAAAGTTTATCAGTATCACATTACAGTTATGTTAGTATCACATTACTGTTACGTCATTATCACATTACTGCTATATCAGTACACATTACAGTTATGTCAGTATCACATTACTTGTATGTCAGTATCACATTACTTGTATGTCAGTATCACATGACTGTCATGTCAGTATTACATGACTGTTATGTCAGTATCACATGACTGTTATGTCAGTATCACATTACTGTTATGTCAGTACACATTACTGTTAATTAATTATAACATAACTGTTATCGTTACAGGGACAGTGTCAGCCTTCGTTTCACTACTAACTCACCGGAGAGTTTCGCTGTCCGATGGAAAGTAGATTTGACACATAATATTGAAATCATCGTCGCAGCAGTCGTCCTCGTCTTTGTCTACATTCTCATTATATTTGAGGTTGGTGTCAATTTTTCTACAGTAATCTTAACAATATTATACATAAACAAGGGTGGCTAGTATGTTACTGAGGAAAGAAAACACAACGATCGTAAATCTAAAGTCGTAACATTTGATATATAGTTGGATAATGAAGTAAGCACTGTTGTTATACTGATGGATTTATATAGAATTAAGAAGCGCATACGGTTTATCTGTGTCTTTGAGGTGTGTTTTAAGTCGGAGATAGTGTGGCAGAGGTAATGCATGATTGAGTCTTGAAGGTTATGTGACGTAAACGGTAGCAAGATGTCGACGATCAAGGAAGTGAGGTCAAAACTTGGATGACCAAGAAAAGTTAACGCTTTCACAGCAATGTCGTTCATTTTGTAGCTAGTCCACAGGACAGTCGCGGCCATCATCGGTTCACTGGCGGCTGTCGCTGCCCTGTCCTATTTTGAGAAGGTAGGTGAATACATACACGGAAGATACTTGTTAGGGACCCAGTTGGGAATGCAATGGAAAAATTAAGTAGTTAAAACAGGGAAACATTAGTCGGGGCGGTTAGGAAGGTACGTCAATAAATACAGTAAAACCGCTTGATCAGAGGGACAAGCCCTGTTTGAGATGTAAATGTATAGTAAAGGGACTATCCATTTACATCAGCACCTGGAACTAAATATATTGCACCCACCCCTTCACATAAACACCGTATACATTCTGATCGGAATCAAATATGAAACATCTCACAGTTATACAATAATCAAATGGTTATCATCAATGCTCACAGAAAATTTTACATCGCTTCAACCTCTCTTCCGTACATACTCAATCATGTATACAACCACTTGATAATATATTAAATAAGACTAAAAATCGTAGATCGAAATAAGTCATCGCTTCAGGGAAAATAATTCATACAATGATAAATTTTGTGCAACTGTTATCAATCCGTTCAGGTCAGTAATTGGTTATCCCCCTTTACTGCTCGCCAATAGTTTATTACCTGTTCAGACCTCTGATTGGTTTTCAACCGTTCACGTCGCTGATTGGTTATCACTGCTTCTGCCTGAAAATTGATTGTGACTGCTGAGTGATTAAAATGCCGTAATGATGCTGAGTCAGTGGTCTAATGTTACCACTTACCTTTGGTTGCCACAGCGACCGTCCCTGAAAGTGATCATAGCCTGGGTAAACAGTGTTCTAATGTTAACATTTCCCTCTGGTTGCCACAGCGACCGTCCCTGGAAGTGATCATAGTCTGGGTAAACAGTGTTCTAATGTTAACGTTTCCCTTTGGTTGCCACAGCGACCGTCCCTGAAATTGATCATAGCCTGGGTAAACAGGGTTCTAATGTTAACATTTCCCTCTGGTTGCCACAGCGACCAACCCTGGAAGTGATCATAGCCTGTGTAGACAATGTTCTAAAGTTAACATTTCCATTTGGTTGCCACAGAGACCTTCCCTGGAAGTGATCATAGGCTGGGTAAACAGTGTGCTAATGTTAACTTTTCCCTTTGGTTGCCACAGCAACCGTCCCTGGAAGTGATCATAGCCTGGGTAGACAGTGTTCTAATGTTATCGTTTCCCTTTGGTTGCCACAGCGACCGTCCCTGGAAGTGATTATAGCCTGGGTAAACAGTGTTCTAAAGTTAACATTTCCCTTTGGTTGCCACAGCGACCGTCCCTGGAAGTGATCATAGCCTGTGTAGACAGTGTTCTAATGTTATCGTTTCCCTTTGGGTGCCACAGCGACCGTCCCTGGAAGTGATCATAACCTGGGGAGACAGTGTTCTAGTGTTAACGTTTCCCTTTGGTTGCCCCAGCGACCGTCCCTGGAAGTGATCATAGTCTTGGTAGACAGTGTTCTAATGTTAACAGTTCCCTTTGGTTGCCACAGCGACCGTCCCTGGAAGTGATCATAACCTGGGTAGACAGTGTTCTAGTGTTAACGTTTCCCTTTGGTTGCCACAGCGACCGTCCCTGGAAGTGATCATAGCCTGGGTAGACAGTGTTCTAATGTTAACGTTTCCCTTTGGTTGCCACAGCGACCGTCCCTGGAAGTGATCATAGCCTTGGTAGACAGTGTTCTAATGTTAACGGTTCCCTTTGGTTGCCACAGCGACCGTCCCTGGAAGTGATCATAGCCTGGGTAGACAGTGTTCTAATGTTTACGTTTCCCTTTGGTTGCCACAGCGACCGTCCCTGGAAGTTATCATAGCCTGGATAGACATGGAAACGCTCATGCTGCTCTTTGGAATGATGATACTGGTCGCCATATTTTCCGAAACAGGATTTTTCAATTTCTTTGCCCTGAAGGTAAGGTATGTTTAGGTCAAGCTTTAGATACATGTACTTGACATTTAGGTAATTGTTTCATCATTATTTTCTATTTCATATTTTTCTGGCTTTGAATTGAAGTCGGTAAATTATTAGAATCTTTAATGTGTGTTATGATGGTCACCAGTGAAGTCAAGTACATGCTGATTTAAACAGACATTTCAACAACAAATTTTAATGAAAAAAATCTTATGACAATTTCTGTTAATTAATAAAAAGAAAGCAATGATGCGCTAGGTTAATTGAGTATGACGTCACACCCATGTTAACAGCCAAGTGTATAATGACTTCAGACTATTAATATGCGATATTACCTTTGTGTTTAAGGCGTACAAGTTAGCAAAGGGCCAGGTTTGGAGTCTTGTAACCTTACTGTGTTTGTTCAGTGCCGTAGTTTCTGCATTTCTCGACAACGTTACAACAATCCTCCTTCTGACACCCGTCACTATCAGGTATAATAACACATATGACTTATTTTGACAGAAATATTATAACTTTGTCCCATGGCGACAGTAATATTGTATACTTTGTACCACGATGTCAGTTATATTGTAAACTTCGTCTAATGATGCGAGTTATCTTACATACTTTCCCTCATGACAACAGCAGTTTTACATACTTTGTTTCGTGTGATTGATAATTTATCATTACTTAGACACTTGTTTCCATTCGTGTGTAAGGTATTACCGTAAATTTGCGCGTATAGTGCGCACTTTTTAGGGTAAATATTGTCATGTCAAAAAGGGGGTGCGCACTATACGCAGGAACAAGTCATTCTTAATTCTTGGGTTATCGTTCTCGAGTTTCTGGACCGCCATATTGGATTACCTCCCTTCAAATAGTTTATTTTGAGTCGTCGGTCATATATGATAAGATTGAAGATTAAAATAACAACAAAGAATGAAATTTTGGCAACACAATTTTTAACTTCTCTTAAATGATTAAAATCGGTAATCATGACTGCTGACGTAACATTTTTACAGGTAAGTTTTGACCGGAGGGCATGACGTCTGATCCCGGATAATAAGCTAGGTAGGATCGCCATGCTTCAGCGAAAATTATTGACACTTCTCAACACCACAGTTAATACAAATTACAATGCAGTAATTAGCTAACTCTCAATCAGTTATTACCGATTAACAATAGCTCTACTATCGAGGCTAATTATCGAATTAGTAAATACACATAATGTAAAAGAACTGAATTTGTTAGGTAAATTTATTATTGAAGCTAACAAACGAAGGATTGTTTAACTTATAAGTTTGTTTTACGTAATTTTGTATTACTCAATCGTATCATGTTCCATGTTTTGTTCGAACAATCTTTCATGTTTAAGATGGTAAATGCTCAACGTTGTTTTTTGTTGTTGATGATGATGATGATGATGATGATGATATAGATGTTTTCGATGATGTTGATATGATGATGATGGTGATGATGATGATGTAGTATTTGATGTTGATTTAAAGAGATGATTATTTCATGATGATGAGTTATAAGACGACGGCCACGACGACGACGACGACGACGATGATGATGATGATGATGATGATGATGATGATTGATGATGATGATGATAATGATGATGATAATGATGAAAGCGATGAGTTATGATTTCGATGATGCTGTTGTTGCTACTGATTTGTGATGGATGTGCCAGTAATATGTAATTATATGTTGTACTTATATGAAATTATTTGTTGAAAATCCTATAAGTTGTAAAACTTACGGAAATAAATTGAATTGTACTGTAAATTAATTGAAATTACTTGCAGTCGCGATCGAGTGACCGTGTTGTTTTCACTCCTCAACATTGCCGTGGCGTGAAGACCCACCACTGTTAGAACTACAGACTGATTTGACCGTAAAGGGATTATAAAAAATATGTTTATACTAGAAGCGTGGACATTCAATACATCCCCTTCAAATCTACTCAAAGGAAATAAATAAAAGCAGAATACACTATTTTTATGATGCTTCATAATATTGAAATAATTCACGAGGTTATCGATCACGTCAACAGGAAAGCGAGCCGGGAAAAAATGCACACTAGGCCTAGCGATTTGGTAAAAAAAACCCAACAGAAGTAACATGGAACGGAGCCTATAATTAAAACACTACATTTTCGTAATTATGAGAAAACCGCTGAGATGTCGAAACATAAATTGATTTAGCTACACTTTCTTCGGTTGATTTCTGCAGGATTCGTCCACCAAGCGGTACGGAGGGAGACCTTCATGGGCTTGTTGACTCCGATCAATCAATCGTTAATTAATCGGCGTTATAAACACCAAGTTACCTTTGATGCTTCTTTTCCATTTTGATACCGTCTATTTTTAGGATTTTTTTTCCAAAAAAAACCAAAAAAAAAACACCATATCATGCCAACTCGTCCTCATTTTTTCCATTCTATTTCTGTATGGTTAGACATTACAAACACACACTTGGGCGACTACATAAATCAGTAAAATGTTCAGTTATATTGATAACCTGTCATTGAGGACCAAGAACTTCTTGGACTTCTGTACCTCAATAATTCCCTTTAATTTGCTATCAAAGATACCGCCGACTCCTCTTCTACATTTATCACACGTTCGTCTCTTCGCCTGTTTTATCTATTGGCAGTTTGACAAATTCGTCCTGTCACTAACAAAATCTAGGGCAGTGTGCCGACTTAGCTTGTATGGGTTCATTTTCTGTAAATATTACTTTAAAACATTTGAAATAAATATGAAAATATCCTTTAGAATAAAAATATGATAGAAAAAAATTGTTTCAGGCTCTGTGAAGTGCTCAACCTTGACCCGAAAAACATCCTGATAGCAGAGGTTTTGTTCTCCAACATCGGAGGTACGGCTACTGCTGTGGGGGACCCGCCTAACGTCATCATTGTCTCTAACAAGGAAATTGCTGAAAAGGTAAGGTACTCCCCGGTTTCCCCTTCCGAGGAAACGTAGCCCCGAAATCTCTTTTCAATGTCATGCACTCAAGGAACCTCACTCCAAGGTAACGAATCCCCCGGAAGTTCTCTCCAAGGGGAAACGTCACACCGGCACATCTTTCCAAGGTAATGTACCCCCGGAACATCTCTCAAAGGTAACGTGCCCCCTAGGACCTGTTTCCTAGGTAACATAACCCCAAGACCTTTCTCTAGTGCAATAGTCTCTAAAGTGGCCTCTCTCAAAGGAAACTTATCCCCTGATCGCTCTAAGCTAACGTATCCATTGACCTCTGTCAAAGGTAAAGTACCTCAGGGAACATCTCCTTGAGGTGAGATATCATTGTGATAATCACTAGAAGCACCTATTTAAAAATCTGGTGTGTCAATGGAGAAAGCCAAACAAAGCATTGCAGAATAACGTGATCACTTTGGCCATTTGTGACTCATCAGTGGTTTTGAAGGTCAAAAGAATGAAAACTCCGTGTCCGAGTTGTTCCGAAAGATATGTAGAATACAACGGAAAGGGACCTCTGACATCACCAATACGTCCGACAAGGTTTCAGGTCGTCACTGAATGTGGATAACAACAGTTGGTACTGCTTCTGTTCTGCAAGTACATGGCTCAGGTTTCCACAGTGTATGTGAACTTCTTATTTCAGAGTAGCGCAGAGTACATATAGGTAACCATAGTGTACGTGATCTTCGTATTTCAGAGTATCGCAGAGTACATAGAGGTAACAATAGTGTATGTGATCTTCGTATTTCAGAGTATGGCAGAGTACATATAGGTAACCATAGTGTATGTGAACTTCTTATTTCAGGGTATCGACTTTGCCGAGTTTACCATACACATGACAGTGGGTATAGTGTTTGTGGCGTTCGCAGGGTACGGGGCACTACGAATTTACTACCGAAACATGGACTCTCTCCAAAACAAGGACCCTCCCGAAATAGCAGGTACATGTTAGTAGACTGTCTATGTATGTAATATGTATCAATGTAGTCCTGAAATAGGACTTCATAAAGATTTAATGTCTCAAACATTACAACACTTATCCACAAATTCATTGAAACACTACCGAGGTTCTCATTGTGGTTGATTCCTCGCTGTCCTAATTCTTCATAAGAGTAGCTAGAAAAAATTGTTTCGTAGCTGTCATTCTCTGGTGCATCAAGCACATATAGATATATCAGGTATTGGTCTACTTTCTCCTGAAAGGACACATTGGAATTCCTTACATGCCAAGAATATACGTACATGTTGTTTTCTCTTACGTATATGATGCTTCTTTGTCCTTCCAGCTGATTTTTTTCTTCGTATGAGCTGTTTTTTCTAACCCTCTCTTTCAGAGTTGAAGCACGAGATTGATCTGTGGAAGAAAGCTGCAGCCCGCGTGTCGGTCGCCACCAGGGAGGAGAGTATTATGAAGGCACTCTTCTTACAGAAGGCAACTCAGCGAGAAAACAGCCTAGTCCGGCGACTTTACAGAATAAAGTAGGTGTACAAGGAAGCGGACAGACTTGAAAATAATGCAATATATATTTCATTCATGACAGTTAACTTTCTAGTATACTATACTAAATATATTTGTATGTAGTTCGCGGAGATAGGTCAAGGGTTAAATATAAGGACATTGTTCGAACAAACAAGGTAAATGATAAATACCCTTTAGATTCGTTACATGTGTTACGTGTTATTTTATATCAAACTATATTGATGCATTGTTAAAGAAAATATCAAAGGTAAAATTCGTCCAGATATTATAAACATCATCATTTGACGATGATTTGCCTTTAATGTTTTCTTAAAGGTAACAGAAAGTGAAATATCTTATTAATATCATACATTATAAAGTCCATCACTTTGTTGATATTCAATTTGATTCTGAGCAAATTTCAATAACATAACGTTGCAAAGTATCGATTAATACTATAGTGAGCAATAATAAAATGAAGAGAGAGAGATACTTAAAGATTGGGTTGGGGTAAAATGTCATAATGTTACATGTACATCGGGTTATTTACAGGCGCTCAGAGATTAAAAACTTCGAACAAAACGTTCAAGATCTGGAAAGAAAGGTAAACACTTGTTTTAATGAACAACTAGAAACTAAAGAAAACGAGTGATATCATTCATAATAGAATTGCAACTACATAGCTAATGGTCCTATCAGTAACCCAGTAACAGTGTTTACTATACCCGACAATATCTATGTAACAACGATAACCCAGTAATAGAGTTTACTATACCCGACAATATCTATGTAACAATGATAATCCAGTAACAATGTTTACTATACCCTACAATATCTATGTAACAATGATAACCCAGTAACAATGTTTACTATACCCTACAATATCTATATAACAATGATAACCCAGTAACAGTGTTTACTATACCCTACAATATCTATGTAACAATGATAACCCAGTAACAGTGTTTAATTATACCCTACAATATCTATGTAACAACGATAATCCAGTAACAGTGTTTACTATACCCTACAATATCTATGTAACAATGATAATCCAGTAACAGTGTTCACTATACCTGACAATATCTATGTAACAATGATAATCCAGTAACAGTGTTCACTATACCCGACAATATCTATGTAACAATGATAACCCGGTAACAGTGTTTACTATACCCGACAATATCTTTGTAACAATGATAATCCAGTGACAGTGTTTACTATACCCTACAATATCTCTGTAACAATGATAACCCAGTAACAGTGTTTACTATACCCGACAATATCTTTGTAACAATGATAATCCAGTGACAGTGTTTACTATACCCTACAATATCTCTGTAACAATGATAACCCAGTAACAGTGTTTAATTATACCCTACAATATCTATGTAATAACGATAATCCAGTAACAGTGTTTACTATACCCAACAATATCTATGTAACAATGATAACCCAGTACCAGTGTTTACTATACCCGACAATATCTATGTAACAATGGTAATCCACTAACAGTGTTTATTATACCCGACACTATCTATGTAACAATGATAACCCAGTAACAATGTTTACTATCCCCTACAATATCTATATAACAATGATAATCCAGTAACAGTGTTCACTATACCCGACAATATCTATGTAACAATGATAACCCGGTAACAGTGTTTACTATACCCGACAATATCTATATAACAATGATAATCCAGTAACAGTGTCTACTATACCCTACAATATCTATGTAACAATGATACCCCAGTAACAGTGTTTACTATACCCGACAATATCTTTGTAAAAATGATAATCCAGTAACAGTGTTTACTATACCCGACAATATCTTTGTAACAATGATAATCCAGTAACAGTGTTTACTATACCCTAAAATATCTATGTAACAATGATAACCCAGTAACAGTGTTTCCTATACCCGACAATATCTATATAACAATGATAATCCAGTAACAGTGTTCACTATACCTGACAATATCTATGTAACAATGATAATCCAGTAACAGTGTTTACTATACCCTAAAATATCTATATAACAATGATAATCCAGTAACAGTGTATCCTATACCCTACAATATCTATATAACAATGATAATCCAGTAACAGTGTTCACTATACCCGACAATATCTATGTAACAATGATAATCCAGTAACAGTGTTCACTATACCCTACAATATCTATGTAACAATGATAACCCAGTTACAATGTTTACTATACCCTACAATATCTATGTAACAATGATAACCCAGTAACAGTGTTTACTATACCCTACAATATCTATGTAACAATGATAATCCAGTAACAGTGTTTACTATACACGAGAATATCTATGTAACAACGATAACCCAGTAACAGTGTTTACTATACCCTACAATATCTTTATAACAATGCTAATCCAGTAACAGTATTTACTATACCCGACAATATATATATAACAATGATAATCCAGTAACCGTGTTTACTATACCCTACAATATCTATGTAACAATGATAATCCAGTAGCAGTGTTTACTATACCCTACAATATCTATGTAACAATAATAACCCAGTAACAGTGTTTACTATTCCCGACAATATCTATGTAACAATGATAATCTCCTATCAGTAACCCAGTAACAGTGTTTACTATACACGACAATATCTATGTAACAACGAGAATCCAGTGACAGCGTTTCCTATACCCGACAATATCTATATAACAATGATAACCCAGTAACAGTTTTTACTATTCCCTACAATATCTATGTAACAATGATACCCCAGTAACAGTGTTTACTATTCCCGACAATATCTATGTAACAACGATAATCCAGTAACAGTGTTTACTATACCCGACAATATCTATGTAACAACGAGAATCCAGTGACAGTGTTTCCTATACCCGACAATATCTATATAACAATGATAACCCAGTAACAGTGTTTACTATACCCGAAAATATCTATGTAACAACGATAATCAAGTAACAGTGTTTCCTATCCCCGACAATATCTATGTAACAATGATAACCCAGTAACAGTGTTTACTATACACGACAATATCTATGTAACAACGAGAATCCAGTGACAGTGTTTCCTATACCCGACAATATCTATATAACAATGGTAACCCAGTAACAGTGTTTACTATACCCTACAATATCTATATAACAATGATAACCCAGTAACAGTATTTACTATACCCGACAATATCTATGTAACAATGATAACCCAGTAACAGTATTTACTATACCCGACAATATCTATGTAACAATGATAACCCAGTTACAGTATTTACTATACCCTACAATATCTATGTAACAATGATATGCCAGTAACAATGTTTACTATACCCTACAATATTTATGTAACAATGATAACCCACTAACAGTGTTTACTATACCCTACAATATCTATGTAACAATGATAACCCAGTAACAGTGTTTACTATACCCGACAATATCTATGTAACAACGATAATCCAGTAACAGTGTTTCCTATACCCGACAATATCTATGTAACAACGATAATCCAGTAACAGTGTTTCCTATACCCGACAATATCTATGTAACAACGATAATCCAGTAACAGTGTTTCCTATACCCGACAATATCTATATAACAATGATAACCCAGTAACAGTGTTTTCTATACCCGACAATATCTATGTAACAATGATAACCCAGTTTCAGTATTTACTATACCCTACAATATCTATGTAACAATGATATCCCAGTAACAGTGTTTACTATACCCTACAATATCTATATAACAATGATAATCCAGTAACAGTGTTCACTATACCCGACAATATCTATGTAACAATGATAACCCAGTAACAGTGTTTACTATACCCTACAATATCTATATAACAATGATAATCCAGTAACAGTGTTCACTATACCCTACAATATCTATGTAACAATGATAACCCAGTAACAGTATTTACTATACCCGACAATATCTATGTAACAATGGTAATCCAGTAACAGTGTTTACTATACCCTACAATATCTACATAATAATGATAACCCATTAATAGTGTTTACTATACCCTACACTATCTATGTTACAATGATAACCCAGTAATAGTGTTTACTATTCCCTACAATTTCTCAATATATCAATGATAAACTAGTACCAGCCTTAACATATCTGTACTTTGTTACAACAATTACATAACCAAGCGTTTCATTATTCTGTACTCCCAGTACTTCATCACAGACCAGTGGCTACTGGTAAAGAGCAGTATTATACTCACTGTAGCCATCCTCTTCTTCTTCCTGCAGTCCTTTGTGGACGGACTACATATCAATATAGGTGAGGCTGACTTAAGTATATGTCGAGCTATAGTATGTCTAAGTAAAGTACAATATCTATCATTTTGTTAGCGTTTACTATAAGAAATAAGAAATTTGCACACTAGAGCAGTGATGGAAGCTGTTGTGTTGAGTTCGTTGTGATTATGATGGATATATATTTCAGCCACGATTAGAGCTATAATGTTGATGTTATTTGTGTAGGCTGGGTAGCCGTTATGGGAGCTATAATGTTGATGTTGTTTTGTGTAGGCTGGGTAGCCGTTATGGGAGCTATAATGTTGATGTTGTTTTGTGTAGGCTGGGTA